GGCACTAGGGATACTGGCTGGGAGACATGGGGACATTGATACACTTGGGGTACTGGGAGACATGGGGACACTGGGAGACATGGTGTGGCAAACCTAGCCACTTACAGAATGTCCTTGTATGTATCTTGCGATTACTGTATTGCTATTCCTATCTGTGTCAAAACCCGCCACTTAAAGTGTAACCCCCCTGAATGTAATATGATGTAAAAGTGTATCCCTGTGTACTGCTTGGTATCTCCTAAGGCAGGAGATGGCTATCTGTAACCCAACCCCCTCCTGTCTGGGACTAAGGGAAGTGTATTTTGTGGAATGGAGACCCCCTGCGGAAGTCTGTGCTTAAAGGAAGCGGTAATCATTAAAGAGTGTGACTCAGCCTGGTGAGATGCCAGTGTTTTAACCTCCAAACTGTGTGTCGTCCTTTTACTGGAGGGGAAGAAGATTTTAACCCCTGCGTCTGCAGTTCCAGCTTGCAGGGAGAAGAAAATAGGGGAAAAGCCCTGGTAAGGATAGAGAGCCTACAGGGCTGAGTGTTGTCTGAACCTGGGAACAGGACACTAGGAACAGGTCCCGCTACAATTGGTGACAAGCGACGGAATTCAAACCACACAGCAAAGCAGCATTTGGCAGGGGTTGATGCGAGCATAGGAAAAGAAACAGCAATTCGTGAAACAACCATTCAGATGAAACCAGAGTTCTGGTATAAGTGGAATACCACAAACAGCCGGTGGGATTTCCACAGGAGATTATTTCGAATAGGGGTACTCAATTCACTGCAGAGGTCGCCCACCAGCCCTGGAAGGTCTGTGGGGTAAAATATATCCTTAACTCACCCTACCACCCTCAGTCCAATGGTCTCTGTGAATGGTTTAACGGAACACTTAAGCAGATGATCCGGACGTTCATAGACAAGCAGAAGGACTGGGAGAGGTTTTTACCCCACTTGCTGTTCGCCTATAGGGAAGTTCCCCAAGAATCCACTGTGTTCTCTCCCTTTGAATTATTGTTTGGAAGGAGGGTGAGGGGCCCCCTAGATTTAGTCAGAGTGCACTGCGAGGGGGGAGTGACCACTAATGGTACCCTTATTATACCCTATGTGCTGGAGTTCCGGGAACGCTTGGAGGCTTTGACCCAGACCGTACGTACCAACCTCCAAGCGGCCCAGCAAAGACAGCGCAGCTGGTATGGTAGGGGGGGCCAGGGACCGCAGCTTTCAGGTCAGGCAGAAGCTGCTAATCCTACGACATCCCTAATGACAAGCTGCAGGCCTCCTGGCAGGGCACATTCAAGGTGGTAGAGCAATTCTGCGATACCACCTATGTAATTGGCCCGTGCGCTGGAGCAAGGGGCAGACGCATGCTCCATGTGAACCTCCACGAGCGCACAGAGGAGGTGACTGCGATTTGTGCCTCTGCCGCAGAGGATTTTGATAATTTGCCCCTCCCAGACCTCCTAGAGAAAGAAGGACAAAATGAGGATCAGGAAGCAGTACAGATAGGGGAGCGCTTGAGTCCCTAGGAGCGGGCCCAGGCCAAAAGCTTTATTAGGGAAAAAGGGGCCACCTTTTTTAACCTCCCTGTGTATACCCTGTTAGCCACCCACCGTGTAGAAACCCCAAGGGCAGACACCCCTCCGCCAACCTCCTTACCGCATCCCCGAGTCTGTAAAAGAGAATATGTGTAAGGAGATCGAGGAAATGTTACAATTGGGGGTTATAGAACCTTTCGATAGCCCATGGGCCTCCCCAGTAGTTCTGGTGCTGAAGCGGGATGGAACTACCCGCTTCTGCGTTGACTATCGAAGGCTCAATGATAAGACAGTCTCTGATGCCTGGCCGTGGTGTGGGCCCTCAAGAAGCTGCAGCCCTATTTGTACGGACAACCATTCTCGCTACCCACAGATCACAACCCGTTGGTGTGGCTGAACCGGGTGTCAGGAGACAATGCCAGGCTGCTGCGCTGGAGTTTGGCACTGCAGCCTTTTGACTTTACCATCCACTACCTCCATGGGAAGCAAAATGGCAATGGCGACGGGTTATCCAGACAAACTGAACTTGAAAAGTTATCTGTGAGTACTCCTCCGGACATCCCTAAGCTGATCCATTTGAATCAGACTGTGTATGCCGGCTTGGTTCTGGGGGAGCATTGTGGCAAACCTAGCCACTTACAGAATGTCCTTGTATGTATCTTGCTATTACTGCATTGCTATTCCTATCTGTGGCAAAACCAGCCCCTGAATGTAATTTGATGCAAAGTGTATCCCTGTGTACTGCTTGGTACAACTAAGGCAGGAGATGGCTATCTGTAACCCATCCCCCTCCTGCCTGGGACTAAGGAAAGTGTATTGTGTGGAATGGAGACCCCCTGCGGAGGTATGTGCTTAAAGGAAGATGTAATAATTAAAGAGTGTGACTCAGCCTGGTGAGATGCCAGTGTTTTAACCTCCAAACTGTGTCATCCTTTTACTGGAGGGGAAGAATATTTTAACCCCTGCATCTGCAGTTCCAGCTTGCAGGGAGAAGAAAATAGGGGAAAAGCCCTGGTAAGGACAGAGAGCCTCCAGGGCTGAGTGTTGTCTGAACCTGGGAACAGGACACTCGGAACAGGTCCCGCTACACTTGGGGACACTGGGAAACATGGGGACACTGGCTGGGACACCGGGAGACAAGGGGACACTGGGAAACTAGGGGACACTTGAAGACATGGGTACACTGAGACACTAGGGACACTGGCTGTGAGACATGGGGACACTGGGAGACATAGGGACACTGTGTTCCTAGTTTTTTAGTGTCTCCATGTCTCCCAGTGTCCTCAAGTATCTCTGTGTCCACAAGTGTTTGTGTTATAATGTCTCCTAATGTCCCTTAGTGTCTCAGTGTCCCCATAACTCCCAGTGTCCCCAAGTGTATCAGTGTTCCCATATCTCCCAGTGTGCCCAAGTGTCTCAGTGTCCCCAAGTATGTGTCATAATGTCTCCCAATGTCCCTTAGTGTCTCAGTGTCCCCAAGTGGCTCAGTGTCCCTAAGTCTCTGTGTCATAATGTCTCCCAATGTCCCTTAGTGTCTCAGTGCCTCCATATCTCCCAGTGCCCCCATGTCTCCTTGTAGCCTTTCCCCCCATCCTTTACTTTCCTGAGCTTAAGCCTGTCTCTGCAGGCTGGGAGTTGCTGTCTCGACTCTCTGTAGCTGCTCCTCCTTTGTGGTCAGTGAGTAAAGAGAGGTAGGTAGGGATATGCTGGAACTTCCTATCCCTGCCTCTCTATACACACAGCGACTACTACTGGCCAGTTCTGGTATTGCATTATAATCTCTGTTTATACTGATAAAAAATACCAGCATTTGTATTGCCAGTATGACTGCAATATCAGCAATGGCCAGCCAGCCTCGATTACTGGCTGTGCCAATAAAATACCAGCCAGGTGGAAACCATAAGAGTAGTGTGTAAAAAAAAAATAAAAAATCAATGGGCCTATTTCATGTTTGATGGCAATGAATGAAGAGTAGGTAAATGGTGTTGAGCTGCTAAAAAAATGTTTAGCAACCGGTTTGTCTGTGCGCTGATCACAAACGCTGTCATAATGCCAGATCTGTGACCTCTCATCTGTCTCTATAAGATCAAATGTGGTACAGATTCCAGAAAAGGGGATATCATCCTCAGACATTATCAATGGCAAAACAGAAAGTGATGGAACAAATTGTAAATAAGAAATCAAAAGCATCATCTGCAACTCAAGATAGAAAATGGTTTCTACCATTACCCTTCTACACAGATATTTCACAAATTGAGGACTCTATACATAAAAACTGGGACATATTACAATCCAATATAAATCTTCCACCATCAAATCATAAATT